ACATTAAAGACAAGTAGAAAACTTTTTCTTTACATGTAATATTCAGAAGTTTTTCTGATTGTCTTTAAGGACTACCATTCTGAAAGATGAATGGTTATGTATCTTCCTTATAACAAGTGGTTAAATTAATATTTAAAGTATGCAACCACAATTTCTAATTAAACTTCTTATGAAGCTCTCAGGTTAGAATTTTGTAAAGTTCAACTTTAGATATGTTGGATATAATGCATATTTTAAATGCTAACAATTATCTAGTAACTATTGTCAAATGTATCATATGTTTAACCAAGTTGTACTGACAATTAGCAATACTAGCTAGAAAAAAAATAGGGAAGACTTGCATGATTTCTATGATTGCATTTGACATATTCCACTAGTAGATTTGTTACATTTGTTGTCTGCTTATTTAGATTCAGTCTAATTTTTTTATAATAAAGATATGAATATGGATCAACATATTGCAAAGTACTTGTTGAATTACTGTCATACAAATTGGAGTATGTCAGGATTCTTACAAGATTTATCTGAAAAAATTGACTTCACAAATGTTGATGCTACAAATATTTTAAATACCTTTTAACAATACTTTAAAAATATATTAATAGCTGAAATATCTTTAAACGTGCGTAAACTAAGATCAATAAACCTTAAATTTAGATGAATTAATACAACTTTTAGAAGAATTGCAGGTTAGCTTTTAGAGTTTACTTAGTATTATTTTTTTGCCAAATTCTAGTAAATTTAACTTATACTATTTACATTCTCACATTTCAGATTAATTAAAACAAAGAAAAAAAGAGCATTAAGAAACAATCCAGATAACTATTAACAACTCTTATTTTTTACTCAGAATTTGAAAATTAATACAACCTTTTTATATAGAATGGACTTTTAGAGTTGAATTGATTCAAGATTTTGAATTTTCTAAAATTTTGTTACAAATAAAAATAACAAGAAATAGTTATTTCGTAATAGTTACAAGTATGAAATTATTTTTATTTTTACTTTTTTATTTTTAAAAAAATATTTTCAACTTATATGTAATTTTTAGGTATTTATAAACCGCAAATTTGTCTTTATGAATATTCAGATATCAATAAAATTTGATCTATATACAGATTCAGAGATTGTAGTAAAAGATATAAATCAAATTCACTCTCTTCATTAATTATAATATAATCATATTTTTTAAATTATCATAGACATTATCAGATGATTGAACTAAGTTATTATAAAATGATAAAACAATTGAGTTTCATACATAAGGTGAAATATATTACAAGATTAGAGTTTCAAAAGTAAATTAAAAATATTTTTATTTTTTTTCATTCAATTCAAACTATTTTGGTAATGCTAAAAAAAAGATTTTGATATAATTTAAAGAGATTTAATATATTATTATCCTTCATGTAATCTACTCGTAGGCAGTGATGTACATTTTTGATGTCCTAGAGATTTTTTGTCCCAGCTATATGTCCCAACCTGTTTCACACTATGTCCCAAAGGTCCTATCTGTCCTATCTATGTCCTATCAGTGTCCTATCAATATCCTATGATAACACTGCTCGTAGGAGTATCATCACATAAAGTATATAGGTTAAATTTAAATTAAGAAAGATTTTTGAATTCATTTTCAACAGATTTAACAATAAGAGTAAATGTTATAATAATAAATTTAGTATATCAATAAAAGATAGTATAATAGAATTATGGAATCCAAAATCAAGATCAAAAATTGATTTATTATCTTTACAACTATCTCTTTTAGTTTTTTCTTTAATGAGTCTTAATAATTTATTTTAAGTTACGGTTATAGAATATAAAAATGATAGACTTTTTTAGCGGTTGAAATTTTTACTATTCACATTTTATTATATAATTTGAGAAGTTCAAACTCTTTAATTATCAATATATTATCTTATTAAAAAACTATCATGATATGATGATGTTATGGAAGATAGAGGAAAATTTAAAATTATTAGTGTTGATTGTAAAATTATGAAAATTTAAGATAAAGATAATGTAAATTTCTCTTAGATGTTAACTCAAAATGTATTTATAATTTTTATTTACTTATTTATTTATTTCTTGTTTTTTTAAACTTTAATTTTATAGGAAACTAATTTTACTTTAATAGAATTCAATATGGATATAAATGATTTTTATGTTGTATCAGATTCTGGTTTTATTTTTGTTTCTAATGAAGAAATACAAATCAGTGTTTATTATATTTCTTTATTAGGTCTTGTACTAAGATGTTGTTCCTTCTTAGATAATTTAACGGTAAATTATATTTGCTTTTTTTAATAATCTTTTTAAAGCGAATCTTCAGATTAAAAATATGCGTACATGTAATTTTTGCTTAAGAAGAAATGAAAGAAAATTCTTAACCATATATTTATGAAAATTATAAGTTTGTTATTAGAAAAGAATTAATAGGATAACTATATAACTAATATTTACATTTATTCACATTAAATATTGAATATCTAATGTATTTTATCTTGAAAAAAATAAAAATAATAATATTAATAATTTATTATTGTTGGTAGTTTTGGTATAAATTATTTGATTAGAATAAATATATTAAAGTCATATATGCATAGATTTTTTATGAATTTACAATTATATAAAAAAGTAACAGATTTATGATTAATTTGTATTTTCATATACCATTTAATTTTGAATTACATGATTTATAATCTAAATTTTATATTATAGGTCAAACTTATTGCAAATCCATTTGTATATACTAATTATTAAAAACATATAATTAAAGAAAAATTAGAAAAAGAAAGAGGATTGCATATAAGAGTAAAGAGGAAATTACCTAAAAGTTAATAAAGAATTAATAAATAGATTATTAAAGTTTTCAGAAAAAAAAAGGATGATAAACGATAAGAAGAAGAATATGCTTCTGCTATAGTTAATAATGATATCATTAATCCACTTAAGGATAATAGATTTAATGAATATTTACTAATCCTAATTTTGAAGTTGATAAGAATATTACTTAATATAAATTATTATATCTTACCGTATGTACTTTGTATATTTTTTTTAAAAGAATCTAACTTTTTTTTAAGACTTTTCTTATTTTTCTTTTGTAAAAATGAAGTTTGAAGAAATATGATAATAAGAATGAGAATGAACAATTAGAATCTAAAGAAAAAAATGCATTAACATTTGAATCAGAGATTGACAGTGATGAAAGTATTACTGTAATAGGACTATCATAATGTAATTGATCTACATAATGTATTATAAATAGTTATGTAAGTGATGTAGTTAATAAGATCGACTTAATAGATATATTTAATTTATGTAATACAAGAATGTTGTAGATCTAAATGTCAAATATATCAGACATATTTGATATATTTGATATACTAGACATATTTGATATATTTGACATATCAAACATACCTAATATATATGATATATTATATTTACATTAAAAAAAGTATATAAAGAAGACTAAATTCTTGACGAGAAGGTAACTATTAATTGCTAGATGCAATTTGATCAGTTTAGCAATAACTATGTATTACCCTTTTTATAAAGTAATGCAAGGCTACTCTTTTTTATTTTGTGATTAATTCTTCTTCTGTATTCCCTTAGTTTAGTATTTTTAGCTTTTAGTTTATTTATTTACCAATAAATTTTTATTTGATTTACTTAAAACATTTTGTGACATTTGTATTTATAATGTAATTCACGTTTAATTTTGACTTAATATATGGAAATATACTCAATAGTATATTGAATACATTGGGTAGTATATAGTGAATGAATCATACATTCATCGTAAGTTTGAATATATTTTTCAATATATAACAAAACTTAATCAACTGAGGTGTGAATATACTTTATAGTATATAAAAGAACTATTAACTTACTGAGACAACTATTAGGTTACTACGTAAACTTAAAAGAATCACCACTCAAATACCCTGTCTAACTGTCGCAATTCACAAGGATTGCACGTTAACATTACATTAATGTTAATTATTATGTATAATACAGTATACAAATTTAATATTCTGGTTATTTTTTTACAGATTTAATAACGCAAATAAATAAATAGAAGAGAGAAAAGATAAAAGATGAATCAATATGTAAGACACTGAATTTACAAAAGAAAAAGATAAGTTCATTTCTTTCTTTTTCTCTCTCTCTCTTTTTATAAAAAAAATTTATAATCATATATATAGCTTTTTATAATATTTAATATAATAATTATATAAAATTTAATACAAAATAATTTAAATAATAAATTAAATAATAGAATTAGAATAAAAACTTTTATTTATAATAATTTTTTTTTCAAATTTCAAAATTAAATGATTGAAATAAAAATTAAAAAAAATTTCTTTTTAATTAAAATCTTAATTTATTTCATTTAAATACTAATAATAATTATTAATATAAATAATGAAATTAAAGGTTTATTTAAAAAATAAAAGATATTAATTTTATTCTAAAAAATAAAAATATAAAATATAATAGATTTTTAATTTAAAAAATATAAGTAATTTTAAAATTAAAAATATAAAAAGATTTACTTTAGATTTTATAAATAAAAATTTATTTAAAATTTATAAAAAATGTATTAAAAAATAATTTTTTATTTTTATAAATTTAACAAATTATATTAATTTCAAATAAGTTATATATATAAAATATAAATTATTTAAAATTTTAAATTCTTAATTAATAAAAAATTAATTTTCTAATAGTATATAACAAATGATATAAATTAAAAAATATATATATATAAAAAAATATAAATAAAAATACTTTAATTATTTTAAAAAAATTATATATTGTAATAAGGGCAGTAATATTTTTACATGATATCTATCTACTAATAAATTCAATTACCTCCACCCCTAAAATATTACGTAATAAATGTCACAAATTCAATATGATTGATATAAATTCATGTAAATCATATAATCTACGATTAATTTTTTGATTGAAATTTTCTATCTTTAAAAATGGCACAACAATGTCAAGGAGTTGGATGTACGAAAACTGCAAATTTACAGTGTCCAACGTGTTTAAACCTAAAAATCCCAGGATCGTTCTTTTGTTCACGAGATTGTTTCAGAGCAAATTGGGTATGATATGTCAAAAGCGTTGCTAGATTTTTGCATTACCGTTTCATTAAAGTTAACGATTTATTTACATACAGTCTACACATAAACTGATACATGAGAAAACTTACATACCAAAGTTTTCGTACACTGGAACTTTGCGTGCAGTATACCCTTTGTCTCCAAAGAGACAGGTTCCTCTACATATAGAAAGACCGGACTATGCCGACAATCCTTCAGGTTTCTTTTTTTTTTTCTTTTCAACTGTATAGTCATTAGTTATATAATTATTCTTATACCTATGTTATAGGTATTTCGAAATCTGAACAAGCTGCAAAAGTTAATGCACCCATAAAAGTGTTGAACGAAGTAGAAATAGAAGGGATGCGAAAAGTTTGCAAGGTCCGAAATTTTTTGATCCATTATATCCATTATAATTATAGCAAGCATTTACATAATATTTACCTGTTATAAGTTTTTATTTAACAAACCCTTTTCTTTGGTTACTAGCTTGCACGTGAAGTTTTAGATATAGGTGCTGCTACAATAAAACCTGGCGTGACAACTGATGAGATTGATCGAGTTATTCATGAAGCTATTATCGAACGCGATTCTTATCCGTCACCTTTGAATTATTATGAATTTCCAAAATCCGTTTGCACGTAAATGCACGAATAATAAATTCTAAGTCGTGAATTTATAAATCTTTTTTTTTTTTGTTGTCGTTTATATATTTAAAAAATTTTAACATGCGATATTACTTTAGTTCAGTGAATGAAGGTACGAAGAATTGAGTAATGATTTTTTGAAACGTTACAAGGTAACATGTCTGACTTCAAATTCAAATAATTAACATAGTCATTTGCCATGGGATTCCGGATCAACGAGAATTGGTGGAAGGAGACATTATTAATCTGGATGTAACCTTATATCACAATGGATTTCACGGGGATTTAAATGAAACTTATCCCGTTGGAATTATCGATGAAGAAAGTAAAAAGTTGATCAGAACTGCAAAAGAATGTTTAGATAAAGCCGTTGAATGTGTGAAACCAGGTTTCTTGTACCGTAACCTTGGAGCAGTTATTGAAAAACATGCCAAGACGAATAATTGTTCTGTTGTCCGTACTTATTGTGGACACGGCATTCATGGGTGGGTATTATTATGATTATTATCTTTTACTTTGTTGTGATGAATAATATATTCTAACGCGCTGTTCATATAGATTATTTCACTGTTCACCTAATGTTCCCCATTATGCAAGTAAGTTCCTTTGCTATCTAAATAACAAACTTTTTTAAATCGCACAAAGTAAATAACGAACATTTGATCTGTAGAAAATAAGGCTGTTGGAACGATGAAACCTGGTCACTGTTTTACAATTGAACCAATGATAAACCTTGGTGCGTATAAAGGAATTTCGAACCAATCTTTTAATAATTCACTGTATATTATATTTATTTATCTTATTTATTTTATAGGTACGTGGCGCGACCGACATTGGACAGATAATTGGACTGCTGTAACCGAAGATGGAAAACGTAGTGCACAGTTTGAGCACACTTTATTGGTAACACAAAAAGGGGTTGAAATTTTAACAGCTGGTAAAAATGAATAACAATACATTTCTGATCCGCGTATACAGAGTGAAATTTTATTTATATTTATAATTTAAAAGGATACATGATAAAATACATTCTATTATAGATTGGTTGTGAAAATTAATTCATTTACTAATGGGAATAATTGCTTTCTTGAAATTGAATTGTCCTCCTGGTTATAGAATTTAATGTGATCCACGTTGGTAGTTAAAGATTTGCGTTTCAATTGTAGTTTCTTTTCCAATTGCTGAGTAAATTTGTCCCTAATGAATATATCATCCTTATCATCCTTGGAGAGAAACACAAACTCCCGTTTAAATCCTTTATCTTTATGATTATAAGCCATCATTATAATAAATATATCCAACTTCATTTTGATTGAAAAAGATTTAAACGAATCGATGAGTTTATTTATGTCATTATCTTCACGATTAATCCAACCCTCTAAAAACCAATATACACTGCTTACACCAATTTTATAATTATTTAAATCCCACTCCTTGTAATCTTTACGCAAAAGGTCGATATTTGAAAAATGAGTAACGTCAAGTTTAACATTTTGAATTTCTTCGAAATATTTACTTGTAAAATTTTCTCGAGTAGATATAGGAATTTTTAATACATTTAATAAAAATTGAGTAGCTTCTCGATCTTTATTTGTTACTCTATTTTTAGATTCGTCTAACAAGATTGTATCTACTAATATTGGAGCTAATAATAGTTTAGCTAATTTAGCGTACCAAGAATTCTCATCATCATCTCGAGAAATTTTTTTTTCCCAATCATTTTTAAAATGCAATACGACCAATGAAGTAGCAGAACCAACTGTTTCAATTTGACGACACTTGTCATTGAGATATGGATATAACTTTTCGTCTGAATGATGATCCAAAATTGCAACTATTTTATCATTAAATTTCTCATCCCAAGGAGAAATTAATTTATTATGATCTACCAGAATTAAATTTACATCATAATTTTTTGAAGATAATTGATTTAAATGAGGTGATACGTCGTCTAGGAAAAGAAGTTGTGATATGTCGAGTGCGGAAAAATTACATTGATTAAATACGTAAGAACATTCTGGTCGTAAGTAAAGATCAGACCTTGGAATTTGAATGATAGGAAAGTATAACGAAGAAGTAGTTGATTCGTTAGGAGCAATTAATTGTTGACTTAGATACGAGTATGCTGTTGCCGCTATAATTGAATCCAAATCTATACGTATGGAGTTAAATAAATAAATATATATTATATATATATATATATATATATTGAAAAAAAAAAGGAAATTCATAGTTTGACTGACCGGCCGCTTCATTACCACACACAAAATAAAGCTTCTTTTGTTGTTGTGTGTTGACATTCGAATCACCAATTATCGAAAAAAACGTTTTGGCAAATTCAAACATTTTTCTGAGAGTTACGATCAATTAGATCAGGATCGGTTATTGTTTTGATCGTAAAATCCGTTAATCAATCCGAACATCATTTTGATTATCTAAGCATTATTTTTTTAATTTTTTTTGTTCGATCATAATTTTGTTTTGTTTGTTATAGACATGGTAAATTTCAAAATCGATGAATATTATACTATCACGATTAAGTAATTTCTTTTAATTCAAATATTTATTATCTTTAGATTCGATTCATCTTGGTACAAAACCGACAGGGAAAAACACGTTTGTCAAAATGGTATGTTCCTTACGAAGATGATGAGAAAGTAAAGTTAAAAGGTGAAGTACATAGATTAGTTGCACCTAGAGATCAAAAACATCAATCAAATTTTGCCGAGGTAAATCAATAGGGTTTTTTTTTTTTTTAATTTGTTCATTTTATTTGTACGTATGTAAGTAATTCACGCGTCCTTTTTTTTTTTAGTTTCGAAATTATAAAGTGGTTTATAGAAGATATGCAGGATTGTTTTTTTGTGTATGTGTTGATGCAAATGATAATGAATTGGCATATTTAGAAGCAATACATTTTTTTGTAGAAGTTTTGGACGCATTTTTTGGAAATGTGTGTGAATTGGATTTGGTATTTAATTTTTACAAGGTAAACAAACATTCTATATGTATAAAGTAGTGATTATTATTATACCTTTGAGACTTCATTAAAAGTCAATTATTATTTTTTTTTATTTAGGTATATGCAATATTGGATGAAGTGTTTTTAGCAGGTGAAATTGAGGAGACTAGTAAAAATATTGTGTTAACTAGATTAGATCACTTGGATAAATTGGAATAATTTTAAAAAATGATTAATTGATTAGAATATATATATATATTTTATATACATATATATATAATTATTTAATAAATAATATAAATAATAGAATAATTCAACATAATAATAATCTTTTAAATTATTAGAAATATTACTATTTCGTTCATGTTTCAGTTTTATTTGATGAATCTAAATTACTATTATCAAATCCATTGGTATTATCTCTTTTTTTTTGTAGTGATGATTTTCGACTACCATTGCTCAACCCCAATCCATTACTCATAATATTAGAAGGTAATATATTACTTCTAGTTGTATTGATAAATCCAGAGGTAATACTATATTGAGTTGGATCAAGTGTTGGTGAGGGTGAAGTATTCGTGTTTATCCATTGTCGTGAATGCGTCACATGTGTTGATAGTAGTTGTGTATTTGCTTTAGAACTTGGCGGTGATGTCACATAATGTACATGTAATGTAGTTAAATTACCGCTTAACCAAGAATTCATGACCTTTGCTCTTTGTTTTTCACCTAATCTCGATTTTGGTAACGTCCCAGGTCCAAGAAATACGATTACATCAATAATAAATTGGTGTTCATCCAATATTGAATTCAATACGCATGGAACCAAATTGAGAATTCCTTCTTTTGCCCTCGTTTCTATCACACATACAACTACTCCATTAGCTTGAAAAACCACACATCCATCTGGTGAAATTAAACTATAATGACTCAATTGATGACACCTTTCAACTGTAAATTCAATATCCACTGGGAAATGTATCAATCCATTAACTTCAAATGTCTCTGCGATCGGCCCTAAAAAGAATAAACATTGATATTCCAACAATATTCCACTTTCTCCTGCTGGTCTATGAATTGTATATAAAAATCCTAAATCTCCTGTACGTAAGTATGTTATCCTTGGATCTCCTCCATCTATTGTCGCAGAATATCGAGCCTGATCTAATGGATCCATTGACCCATGTAAAGACTTCGCATTGGCATCGCTACTAACCCATATTTCTCCAAATTCATTTGACAAACACGGACGTCTTGTTTCCGGATGTATTATGGCTACTTGCGTTGACACTGGAACCTAAAAAAACCGTTAAATAACATGTCAAGATACGTGTAATTCATTACTTTTCTAGTCTCCCCTTTTTTTCATTTTCATTTCAATTTTTGTATTTCCTAGAGATCAACAACTTACCGTTCCCGAGTCATGTAATAACACTCCAAAAGGTTCATCTTCTGGGTCAACAACTTTAACAATTCCTCGTCTCAAACTTTTCAAATCCAAATATAATTCAATCGGTTCTACGCACATATAAGATCTTGTGGTTATCATGGGATTTGCTATATGACTGTATACATAATTTACTGCCACATCATCTAATCGATTGGCCAAAAATGTTTTCACTACCTTCTTATCTATAAATAACAAGATAAGCCAAATTAGGAGAAAGTATTGTTAAAAATCATTTGAGAGCTATTTATTACTTACATAGAGATACATTTGGTCTACCATCAATCGGGATCATTAAATTCTTTAAATGTTGTAAAGAAAAATTTCGATAATCCTCGTTCTCAAAAGATGACATTGCGTGTTGTAACATTGGAAACGTAGCATAAGTGTCCTTGACTACATTTAATCAAAGAAAAACATGTAAAATTTAGATACGAATAAACGGGTATACATATATTTATATACTTACTTTTAAATTTAGATATGGTTTCAAACCATACTAATGGATTCGTATGATAATCAAGTGGTGTGATGAGAATTGTCGGTGATCCTATGCGTGTCAAGAAATAAATTAATTAATTAAAATAACAAGTTCATTCTTTATCTCCTTTTAAATATCCTTACCAAGGTAGATTCCAATTAATATCGTATGCACAAATCCAATACCGCTAAAATGTCTAACACAACTTAATCCCGCCCGTGAACTTCTCAACCTACAAGTCTCTTTTTGCACCTTACATAGTGCTAACAATGTATCATGATCCAACCTTACACAACTTTTTCGTTGATCGGCTGAAAAGTAGCACATGATGATTGCTGTCCATTGTGGTTTTAACCATTCTTCCATCATAATGAAATTTGATTCTTTCAAAGTCTTTGTGTATTTCGGAGCTCTTGCTATATTAATGAGCTGAGGTAATACTTTGTTATTGCTACCTCCTGACTGTTTTGATCCTCCACTCATTGTTTTTATGAAATTTAATATTTGTTTGTTTTTAAGTATTTGTTCGGTATCCGTATTTACTAATAAATAACTTATTTTAAACTCTTCAATTAATTCAAATAGCGCAGGTATATCCTCTGATGCTCTCGTAGGTTCTATTTGTGATATGGGAATTGCTATTATACCCAATAACATACATGAAAATATACTGCACACAAAATCTATCCCATGTGGAAATATTAAAACAGTGTGATCTCCAGCTTTACATCCTTTTTTCTGTAAAAAACTTACTATAGTCGCTATACGATTGTTTAATTTCTTCCATGATATTGGCTTTCCTTCTTTTCCTTTCGTATCTAATATATTATATGCGGTTTCATCGGGTGATATTTGTGTACGCCATAATAATACATCAACTATACTTCGGAATTTTAACAAATTGAAACTGGTTTTTTCATCCAATACCTCTTGTGGAATTTCTATCCTGGTATATTGAGGCCTTCTTAATGCCACTGACCCGTTACCCATTTCTTGTCTTGCGGCCATAGCGTCTAAGTAAAATAAATAAATAATTAGTAATGATCGTCTCCATAATAATTTCCTTAAACATTTATTCCATAATAATATGTTTTTCTTAGTTCACCTCTCATAATCAACCCTAACTTACTCGGTCCCCATATTCCAGCAACGGTATCTTCTCCCATCGGTATATCAAATATCGTTTCTGTTGCACAAGTCTTAACATACAGTACTTTTAATCGTCCGTACTCAAAATATTGTTTACATGCTATACTATTTATTAATTTTTTACCATTCTTCCATGTACGTGGCAACGATTGTTGTGCACATATTGATATTGTATAAAGACGGACGTCATGATACGTAAATAATTTGTCATATATTTCATCAGCAAGAGCGGTCAAGTTCTCTATCGGTAACGAGGATTCTGCTATCACCACTAGCAAATTTTGGTCTTTTATATAAATTTCAATTACAGCACTATTAAGTTGATATTAGGATTTAAGTAACCTTTTTAAAATATATATATATATATATGCGAAAGCAATCTGAAATTTTTTTTGGAACTTACCAATCTTGAACACCTTCAACCTTTTTCGTAATGGTATTCTCCAAATCCAAAGTATAATGAAACTTGAACTTTATTTTTTCTTCTTCCTCATCCTTATCATCATTTGCCTCCTCTTCATCACTCGATTCATCATTCTCACTCTTGTTTATTACAACCAATTTCTGTAGTTTTTCCTTTACAATAGGTTCAACTAATAGCCTTATTCGATGTTCATATAATCCAAATATAACCAATTGTCCATTAATTAATGATCCTAAAAGACCTGTCCTCAAAAATTCTTGTTCGAAATATTCGGGTTTCTTGGTATCACCAGGTACTAATATCGGACGAGCGTGGAAAATTGATTCGGTATGTTTTGGTAGATTCCAAAATCCTCCTGACAATGATGGTGAATCGACCCATATTTCTCCAACTGTATTTGGCAAACACAATGCTGTTGTCTCTGGGTCAACAACCGCTATTGTAGCTATATGTATATTTTAAAAAAAAATAATAGATTTATTAAAACAACGTTAAATTTGTATTGCTAATTATTAATGATTTAAACTTACCTTCAGGCATGACAAATCCAAAAGCTCCAACTCTCATGATACTTCGTTCATCATGTCTCTTCGTATCTTGATCATCTCCAGTTTCCACAACAACAATACGATTTTCTTTTAGTTCCTCACGGTCCAATAAGAATTGTTTGACACCTCGTTCTCCCTCAACCCTGTTATCTAGTCCTTGCACACCAAGCAAGTCACCGAAGCTTAAAATCATACCTCCATGTTCCGGCAAACTACTTAGTGGAGTCAAAACATCTTTCGGAAATTGCGTACCCAGAGGAGCAAGAAGTTGTTCAATAATTTCTTGGTTCAAATAAATATCTATTGTAAGCGTGTCGATAAACAAAAAGCGTAATGATGAAAGGATAGGTGCTTGTTTTTTTGAATAGTTTAAAGTTGCCGAGGGATCTGATCTATACGACGATACGATTGGACTCAAGCCTGGATAATCTGCTAATGCGATAGTAACTTTATATTTCGAAATACAATTTACCCATAAACCAGGCACATCAGGTCCAAGGCTGCCCAAATATATAGTAATATTACCACAATAAACTCCCCATAATGCACCTAATATTAAACCAACTTGTTGTCTTGGCTCTAAATAACTTAATACCGTATCAACAAATTTATCATTCATTTCCTCAGGATTTCCTCCTTCTATTCCATCATTGGCAGATTGTTGTTGTTGTGATTGTTCATGTTTAATTTGATTGTTTAAATGTTCTCTCATTTTTGCATCTGTTACACTTGCTCTCATAGCATTACATTGTGACATAATAGTTTGATGGCTTATCGCCACTCCTTTCAATTCTCCATTAGGACTCCTTGTATATTCAATATAGGCCAATTCAGTGAGATGAGTTACTCCAAGTTCATCACCTTTCTTTAAATTCAATGCTCCAAATTCATTTGTTTTCCACCAAGTTACATCCGGCAATTCTTTTTTTTGTGCCAATAAATCTCGCGTTAATACTTTATGATTATGCTCTGTAGTTAATACTAACTTTGATTCTGTAGTTTCCAATATAAATAAGAGTTCCTTAAACTCTTCAACAGCATTAATTGGTACAGCCACAACACCCGCAAAGAAACATCCATATAATGCTACCAGAAATTCCAAAATTTCTGTCTTCCTATAAATCAATGCCACTCTTTCACCTCTCATTAATCCACTATCTCTTAAAATTATTTGTGATACTTTTTCCGCTCTCAAATGTAACTTTTCCCATGTCCATACATGCGTTTCGCGACCTTTTTGATCCAATACTATAAAGGCCGTTTGTTTTGGAGTCATTTGGCCTCTATATCTTAATAATGTCGCTATATCCGCATAATTTGATATTAATGTTGAAGGATTCAACGGATCCATATTTTCAAATGGCAATTCTCTTGGCTCAAACGGCATAAATTGTAATCCTCCTAATTTTGATAATTCAGGATCAAAACTTGGTGTTGAATCTAATATTTCTGAATATGTCAAACTATTGTATAAAGACATTCGCTTTCCAAAGTCTAAAAAAGAGAGATGTATATTATTTCCGCGAAATAAAAAAAAGGGAAATAAATTAAATAAAAAATTAAATAAAATAATGTTATTTACGTTTTTCGGGTCTATCATCAGAACTAAACATTCCACCAAATCTTTGCCCGTTCTGGTTTGATATACTAGACTTTCCTGACCTGATTGAAGCATTGTCGTCAGCTATATTTTCATAAAGTAACGTTAATATAATATATTTCACTTTTTTTCGATCGATCTTTCTTAATGATACTCACGGAAGTGATCGTGTTCTATATCTAAACTTCCTTGCGCACCATCATTCATTACTAGATTTCTGATAATTGGACCAGATGGAACTCCTGGGATATGACGAATTTGTGGTATTTGAGGATTAATAGGTCTCACATGAGGTGCGGGTCTAGCAGGGTATACGGTTGAAGTAGAAAAATACGGCAATTGATATCCAAGTGGTGGAGGCAACGGGGGGCGCCCTTGAGTTTGTATAGGTCTAAATTGGGGTGGACCAAACGCAACATGATGAGGAGATAAGTGATTATATGGGGGTCTATAATGAAATTGTTGATTACTATTTGGAGGAATATTATTAGGTGAAGTAGATAATGAAGTGGAATGTATTTGAGCTGAATCAGAACGACGATTTGTTGCTGTTAAAGGATCGGATCTAGTAGTAGTATTATTAACAACTGTATCAAAGCTTTGTGTACGGCCATGAATTTTTAACCTTTCCATATCAGCACTTGTTCTGGGAACGAGCTGATGGTGTTGCGTAACATTTGGTAAGGGAGCATGAGGAGGAAGTAAAGAAGGATGATCGGGAAATCCGGCGTATTGCTGGTGATTTAGATTATATTGATATGAATTATCAACATCATGTTTATAACCATTTCCACTAGCTGTGCTGCTAACATAGTTAGTTGGAGAAATGCCCCCATCTTCCGCTCTAGGAGAGGTCCTTCCTAATACTCCCAACAGTTGATTTTTTTCTAATAAAGATTTTTTTTTCACTTCGAACCCTTTTTCTGTTAATACCCCATCCTTATATTCTTTTTCTAATACTGCTAATTGGAGTTCTGGTGGTAATGAATTATAATCCATTTAAATAATTGCTTTTTTGTTAAATCAATGTTTCTCAAGTATAAAAAAAATCTGTCAAATTAGATTCAATAATTAAGTGATGATAAATAAATAAGTTTTGTATTATTGTTATTTTTTTTTAGTTAAGTGATCCAATTTTAAATCGTGTATACCACAACTTTAATTTCTTCTATTGATAAAAGTACTACCATTAATAATAAGTATTTGTTAAATATTAAAATAATAAATAATAATCGAAAATTGATTAGCAGAAGAAAGGTAACAAATTTATTAATTAGATTTAAACTTTTGTTCTTAACTACATATAAAAGAATCAAAAAAAAAAAAAAAAAAAATAGATTCTTTAAGCCCATAACAAATTTTCACGAAAGCAATTTAAGCAAAAAGAACCTACCGAGTGTGTGAGACAAGAAATAATTAGAAATCCAGAATAAAACCAGAAAAGTCGCTCAACGACACTTTTTAAGCAGAATCTAATATAAGCACGTCTACTCAAAGCATGAGTCAAGTGGTAAATAATCTAAATATACTTTTATGGACGATTAATTATAAATAAAATATAAATACGTTAAATCAAAAAATGGTTGGTGTGACTAATTGGGTATACAAAGTGATGTAATAGTTTTCAAACATACTTGGTGAAAGCGGCAATTGGTAACGTGGATGCAGTATTCTATATGCGTGATAAAAATAACATCAAAAGATTGTAATGAAAAAAAAAAATAGAATAAGCCCATATGTCTTTTCTAATATATTTCGACATCACACGTGATCATTGATAAAAATAAAAATGGTTAAATCATAACGATAAATTAAGTATTAATAAATGTAAATATATTAAAGACGATATTTAAAATCATTAATATCTGCAGGGGATTCAAGCCATATATTTTATTTTTCCAATTATATCCTTAAAAAGCTGGATAAAAAAAAAAAAATTTTTTTTGGATTTAAAATAATCGTTGATTTATTAATTTGTTTAGTAACCCATCAGTTATATAATGAACCCATCAGTTGAGCTGAAAATTCTTTATCACCTGATCCGGTGCCTTACGTGATAGGTTTTGATTAAGCTGAACATAGTATTATTATAATGATTCTCACGTGAATCTTTTCTTTCTCCCCTTCTGATTATGGAATTATTTTATTTTGAGAACGAATTTTTTATTTGGAATTAATATAAAGATTATATTCAAAAAAAAAAAAAAAAAAAAGAACTTTAGTAATAAGATAATTTTTGTTATAAGATTAAACTTCCTTATTAGTAATAAATAAATCAAATAAGTCAATACCGAAATCATTTCTTATCTATTAATATCTAATGACTTCTAGCTATTTCTGAAAAATAACCCAACAAATCGTCCATGGAAAACTCTAAAGTAATATTAGCATCAGGATAACATCTGTTAATCGTTAATGTAAATCTTTCATGACTACGAATTACTTCTTCCTCTATTGCATGCCATACAACTTGTAAAAGGCGACCTCCTTCTTCTTCCTTGAAATGCTTTTCAACTCGTTTATATAATGACTCAAGACCTTTCTTAATCTATAAGAAACGTTAAAAATTTTCATTAAATATTTAGATTTAATTTTAGAAATATGTATTTATATTCTTACCTCTTTTCCGGGGTATTGTGATATAACTTTCTTTAATGCCGATTTATTGAATTGAATTCTGAATCCAACTTCTTCTGGAGCTGCATTTGTTCTCAATAAACTTTCTATACCTTCGAAAAATTCCTACATGACGAATATAAAAAACTTAATAGAAATACTTGTGAATATAAATATTCACTAAAACTCACAGTGAACGTTTACCAGCATTTTTCCAAATGGTCTTCGAACCATTGTTCTAGCGTATGCATCCATATGTTTATCATAAGAACTCTTTGCATATCTCATAAATGGTTCAAGAATAATAATCCGACGTGAACGGATCTCAGAATAAAAATAATGCATATTCTCTGTTTATAAAATAAAAACGAGTCAGACATTATCTTAATCAAGGAGATTGGTTTTATTTGTATATTGCTTACCTAGAGTCATTATATGAGCATTCAATTGTTCTTTATCATCAACAGGAGAATCAGCATCTTTTGCAATGGCTTCAACACATTCAAACATTGTTTTAACAATACGCTCATAAGCTCTGTTTACGATACGGCGCATTTCAAGCTTTTCATCTTCAATCATTGAATGCTCGATACGTTCAACAAACCGCTTTAAATAAAATTAGTAAAAATTTAAATATATAGGGAATATTGCATCATAATTGTAATCTTATTATATCAACTTACTGGAAATATGCGCATAAAAATAACAATTCCTTTTCGTTTTTTTGACGTAACTTTAGTCTCTTCGATTGCTTTAAGTTGCTCATTCTATTATTCATAAATTATCCTTAATATAAAGTTATTTAATTTCAAAAAAAAAAAAAAAAAAAAAAAAAAAAAAAAAAACCCAATGTAAAATATCTTACAATGAAAATTTCAAACCTACTAAGACAATGTAATCTCACTTGTTGTAACATCCTTACTACAAAATCTTGTGCAATTTTTTCATTGGCATGCATATACTTTTCTAGAGAAACTATCATACCAATAACTTGACTTTATTCCAAAATAATAAATTATAATAAATTTTTTTTTCAAAGACAATAATTATCATTTTACATATTAAGATATTTATACTTGCATGTTGTCATGTTTACATCCATAATCGACAAACGAGAACAATTCTTCAGGTAGAAAACTGAAAAATTTTTCCATATGTTCACTGAAATAAAGCCCATATTAATATAAATAAATTTCAATTAACATATATGATTTACACTAACGTTAATTTTTTTTTCGTTTTATTATCTTCGATACTTCGATCCTCTTTTTTGTTTTCGGCTTTTTTTTTTTCAAGGTGGAAAAAATCCAAAATGAAATTTTGTTCATTAACCATAAGTGGTACAATGGTTTGAAGACAATGGTCAAAAGCCTAACAAAATTAATTAAACATAATTAAAAATTTTTTAATACTACAGAGACGAGTACTTGAATTATTATTTACCTCTTCCGGAGGGAGTTTACCACCACCTCCATCTTTAAATTCCCAGGGTGGTTTTAAGCTTTCCGATGTAAGCCAATTATAACCATAACTTAAACTAGTACGATGACTTTGATTCAATGCAGCACTGAAGACTTATGACATACAATGTATCAATAAGTATCACTTAGATAAATATTATTATAAGATTCACGTCTCACCATAAGATGCTTCTTCTGCCAATTCTCGTTTCGACATCAAGTGTCTCATTTGTGAAAGATATGCTTTTGCCTCCTTCTTATATATTGACTCCTTAGAGATCACGTAGATCTAAAAGATACACTATCAATAAGAACCTTTTTTTTCGTAGATATATAACCTAACTTGTCCATGACATACCGATTGAATTTCCAGGTGTCGCTTAGGATCCATTTCTTTCATCCAAAGTGAAAGACCACGATATTTTGATAAATTTTCAGTTATGCTTTCATGATCTTGTATGGTAAGAGAGTTATGACGAGGTCCTCTGCTTTTATCATTCATTAAAGTTTCTGCCTGAGACAAATGGTGATATTAATCCGCCAAAATCATCAATTATAACGAAATGGTATCTTATAATGAAATGATTAAGGAGTAAATCTAGCCACATATATCTTACCTGGAATTGGAACATAATTCTCATATATTCGTAAAATCGTGAACAGAAATTATTACAATGGAGACGATAAGCTTCCAGTTTTTCCTTTACGGCCATCATCTGTCTGGTATCTATCATGGGAAAATAGTGAGTATCAATAATACCAATAAAAGAAATTACAAAATTTACATTCTTTCATACTTTCATCTAACGGAGTTTCCAATACACGTTTTATCTCTGCTGCAGCATGTTCAATGTTCTGGACTCCTTGTATGGTATCCATCGATTCCTTAAATAATATCTGAATGACTTCTTCAGGCAAAGTGATAGATTGCTATATAAATAATAGGTTACAAAATGTCAGTATATAAACAAATACGTAAAATAATTATCGAAAATAAATATTAACATACGATAAGTCGATCAAGTTCGGAAAGTAAAGCCTTCTGATTTGCAGTTTGTACTTGTAATCCCCGATTCTGAGATTCAATATGATGAATATCATCTCCCATGCTCTAAAAAATGTTACAAGAAAATTATAAAAAATTTTTTCCTATATAACACTAAGTGAAGTGCAATAACATTACATTTAATTCGGCAGTATATAGCGAAAGCCATTGATCCATATTATCCAATTCAGTAATAGCTTTATCAATTTGATCTATAACGGAATGGATGCGGTCATCAGATTCTACCATCGCGTGAATATTAGCAGCCTCCAGAGCAGCCAACTCATTTAATAACCTTTCTTCTAAAGCTGCCGCGTTACCACTTCCTTTCCAGTCAAAATCGTTAAGCAACTCTCCAACATTTATTAAAGACAGTTCTTCTTCTTTGAGCTCTTTATGATTATTAAAGAAAAGTTTGTCAAAACTAAATTATTTGCTTAATTTTTTTTCAGAGAAGGAAATATAGTAAATTAACCATTGTCTTCCGTATGATGAATACTATTCGTTTCACTTCCTTGAGCACCAGAAGATAGATTTGGTGTCGATCGACCATTTTTTTGATTAAGACTTTTTAAACTTGATGATGATTTATTAGCACTTGCAAGCCGTTCTTGTAATGAAGCCGCTACACTATAACTATCAGAGTCATTTTGTACAACTGGCTTGATTGGAGTTGAAGTTGATTTTATTTCTAAAGTAGGTTGATTAAACGTAAAAAAGAGATCGAAGTTGAATATACAATCTGAAAAAAATAGCTTTCATACCCGCAAGAGCTTCGCTATCAAAGTTTATAAGTTTAGGTAACTTTTTGGTATGTTTTTTAAAGGTCTAAAACAAAACTGACGCGTCAATCAATAAGTTTCTTTCTCAAAAGTAACATTAAATAATCAGTTCTTAACGAACCTTTAAAAGCTGACTCAAAAAAACTTTCTTTTCTCCTTGTGAATCAGTTGTCCAACAATAAGGTTTAGATATTGTTATCACAAAGGTGATATTCTACGTGAATTTAAAGAATAATAATTAAATATAATGTTTTTGGTAATTATAAATGGTTCAAGTATTTTTTGTTGAAGTTAAAACCCCTACATCAACTGATTCGATTTTTCGGACTTGTTCCAACTGCCAAGTCCTTCCAATGGAAAAAGTGTCATTTGGATTTTTTTTTGCTTTATGAAGTTGGACTTTTTGAACTTTACCGTTTTTACTGACAACTATGTAAAGAATAAAAATAGAAGTACCGAAGCAAGTTCAGTATAACAAGAAAAATCTCCTAGTTTAATTAAAAATTCACATTATTAAACCTTACTTGTTACTAATAAATAACGAATTTTTACGTCTATTTTAGAATTCATTTTACCAATCCCGAAAGAACGATCAGCAGTGGGTGAATTTCCTCCACCGCCATCCTCCGAGACTTTACAGTATGTTATCAAGGATTCGGTACCCGAACCATGAGCTAATAAAAATAAAGTCATTAATATATAAAAATTTTAAAAACATCTCGAGAGAGAAAAAATTATTGTACTTGGTGATGTTGGATCTTCAACGCCATCAGAGAATAACGAATTAACGATTAGTTGCCTTTCTGGATCAAGAGAAGGTTGTCTGTTCTCGGCCATCGATCATATTATATAAAAGTTTAACACGTAAACGAAATTTCTTTTCAACAACATAAATATAAAAAAAAAAAGGAATGGTCAATTGATAGACAAACAATAAACTAATGCCGGAAGATCGGCAAAATTTGGTTCCAAATTGAATTTATAATTAAACATCATTCGGGTTATTATCTTTTGGTCAATTAAACAGGTTAATTAATATAATTTTCAATAAAAAAATTTTACTAGCATCAACTCATTTATTTGTTCTAGCCCATATATAAACGATTTACTAATTTATTTTATACTATTATTTTTGTAATATGAAATATAATGAAAAAATTTAATCTATAATATAAATTTATAGCTTTTAAATTTTTTGAGGTATTAATTTTATAAAATATACAAAGTTTAATTATGAATTTTAGATATTTTAATAACAATTAATTTATAAATAATATTTAATTTAATCAATTATAATATTAATTTAAAGCTTTTTTAACTTTTAATTTTACTATCTAATTTTTTTAATATAAATATTTCTAAAAAATTGTTTTTATTTATTGATTTAGTAAATATTTAATATAAATTAATTTCAATATGACCGGGAAAAAAAACGGAAACAACAATAACAACAACAAGTCTAACAAGACTCGCTCTTCTTCTCCCAACAACGACCAACAGCAACGACCTGCTAAGAAACAGTTTATTGAACTTCCTCAACCAACTGAAGCTTCGTCTTCAAAAGATATTTCAGAAAATGTTGCGTCTTCCGATATGGAACTTGATACAACCGTTCGTCTACTTAGCAACAAAGGAAAAGCACCAAAAACTTCCTCGTCCTCTCCAAAAACCCCAATAGATATCGACCAAGCTTTTGACGCTACTGAAAATGACCTTGATAACAACAAAAATAAAGCAAGTAGTATTCACCTTGAACGAGAAACGGAAGTTCCAATTTACTTTGCCTACTGCGCCGCTAAACGTTTCTTTCTAGCAAAAACCAATTGAGAAAAACAGAATGAGGCGTATGATATATTCGCACCACATTATGCCTCTTTCATTAGTGCATCAGTACGCACTCACCCTGATGACTCCAATAAAAAATTGTCTGAATTAGATTTACCTCGTGCGATAAAGTCAATCATGCAGTCACCCTCAAAATTCCTTGTTTGGATAATGACACGTTTTCACCCTTGATTACCAAACCAGCCGCAAAATACATTTCAGAGTTGTCGATCAGAGTAACAAAGATCCTGATCTCTACTACAGAATCAAACTTGAGATCTACATTCTCCTTTTTCGGAAAGATCACCAAATGTACTATGTCTATCAAAAATTTATGGCAATAAGCAACAATTACTTTTGAAGAAAACACAGACATGATCACCCTGAATAAACTTAACAGTTACTTTGTCCTAAAAGACCTTGTCCAAGTTCATCCTTGCATAATGTCAAATGAAGATATCAGGAAAAAATTCCAATTTTCCCTTAAACTCACGAACTTACCTCTTGACACTAACGGCTGTCATCTTATCTCGATCAGTAATGCAATTGATGCTATCGCTTAGGTCATTCCTAAATCATGTGCTAACTATCGCAACCTTCAGTATGCTATCTTTTACTTTAAAGACAAAGAAACGATAGATGTCGTCAAAAATGGAGAGACTTTCTATCTTGATAGAAAGAGATTAATCTGGGCAGATCTGAACTCAAAGTTATGTTTTATTTACCAAACTCCTGGTCACCAGTCACAAAATTGTCAGAAAAAAAATCATCTTCCAAAGACCGCCAAACACAACAGCTCTACCAAAGATTCTAACCAGCGTAATTCTACAATTATTAGGCCCCTATTAATAAACCCAAACTATTTAATCCTAATAAACTGACACCAAACATAACGGATTAAACCAACAAAGTTCCATTAAAACAAAAAAATAACCCAAAAAACCCAAATACAAATCCTAAACCTGTAAATATTTCTCCCAAACAGCCAATTAACAAACTAAATCCCCCTCCTACTTTTTAGTCTAACAAACTCAAGCAACCATTTAACAACAAGAGTGAAGAAACCTTGGATGCAAGTATCCATGCTCACAGTTCTTGGGCGGACGACTATAATCATAATTATAATTACCGTAGTTCTAATGACAACAACGGTCAAAATGAACAACATAATATGCTAACTAAAATTTCCAATCAACTTGAAACTATTGCAAGCCAGTTAGCCAAAATAGATCGTGATATATACTGCATCATTGAAAGAGTTAAAGCTATCGAAACCGTTCTCAATATTGATAAGCTTCTACCCCACCAGGCCAATCTACTTAATAAACACTTTAATGAAAATGGCATGGAACTGAAGAAGAACATGAATTTGTAGCTGGCCCTAACATTAAAGATAATATAGTCAACAAAAAAGCTGTTGAAATTGTCCACCTTAAAGAAGAAAATGCCTTATTAAAAACCAGTTTAGAAGACAACTTCTCCAAATTGAATAACGTAAGTTTAGCCATTACGAATATGCAACATCTTCTCCAAACTCAACTCAAAATCGACCCTAATGCATTTATTGATATAGCTGAGGTGACCCCACCTTCTAGCTATACCAAAGATGTGAATGGAGTTTTCGTTCCACCCTTACCTAAATATCTTTAATGATTAGTACAATAAAGGATGATAATAGAGCTGGTTGTTTTTTAAAAATAGAAAATAATGATAATTGATAAAGAGAACTTTATGATAGTGTTGATCTTATTTCTGATAATATTGGTGATAAATTTTCTTCATTAAGTATATTATATTTATTTTGTAATAATGTTCTTATTTGATCTTTTAAATCTTGATTATTAATAAAAGTAAGAGATTTAATTCTAGGATCAAATATCGTGGATATTAGTGTATCTTTTTCTTCAGTATACTAATAAATTTTCATTACTTTATATAAATAATATTTAACTTTTTCTAATATTTCATAAGTATTCAAAGAATCATTAAGATTTAATTTTTGTTGTTAATTAGTTATAGTATCAATTTTTTTCTCATTGGTTTCTAATATTTTACTTTTATCTATTTTTTCAAAGACATCATTAATATTTTCCAAATCTATATTAATTTCAAATACTAAATTTGCTAGTTTAAAGCGTCTTTTAATCTCTTTTAATAAAAGACTCATAATATTATGTATGACATATTTATTTATTCTCAAATAAGTAATAGTTTTCACAAATTCTTCTAATATAAAACATAAATCAGCTAATAATTCCTATTCTTTTTTAGTTAGCATAATTTTAGCAAGTTGATATCCATCTTTTCTTGCATCAAAATTATCATTAATTAGTAAAGTAGCAATTAAAATATCAATATATGGTTTAATTTCAATTAAATGCATTCAGGCTAAATAATTAGAATTCTAATGTGTATCTACATTTCTGATATAATATAAAAGATATTGACTTATTTCGCAAGATTCTAAAATAAAATTGTTTTTATTTAATATTAAAATAATTTAAATAGAATATTTGATAAATTATTAATAAAAAAATTAAAAAAATAACTGAATTATAATAAATTTAAAGTTTTTTATTAGAAATCATAAAAAAATTTAAAATTTTTTTTACAATCTATATTTTAATGTAAAAATTTAAAAATAATATTTTAAAATATATTTTAAACATATCTATAATTAAAGATAAAATAAATTTTATTTGTAATTATTTTTTTTAATAATTATATCTATAAATATATATATTAAAAAATATTTAATAAAAATAAGTATATAAATAATATCTATACTAATAAAATATAATATAAAAAAATTATTAGATATTTAATAATTAATTTTTACAATTTTAAATAATAGAAATGATAATATATAAATAAATTTATATTTTTAAAAGTAAAATAAATACTTACTGTATTATTTTGTGTTTGAATTGTAATTTGTATATTTTCTAAATATTCAGATTATTTTAGTCTTATAAAAAAATCAATAAGACGTTTACTTTTAATATAAGAAGTTTAATATAAGCAAAATCCTTTTCAACTACTAATTGTAAGATATGAGTAATACAAGGTTGTCACATTATATTTAGAGAAATTGAATTCATATCTTTTATTACTTTTTGTATATTAGATCTATTGTCAGTTATTATTATATAAACTTTTTCACGTAACAACTATTCATCAAGAATTTCAAGTAATATATTACTAATATATTCTGCAATATATGGATAGTAAACATAAGTAACAGTAAGTAAAATTTCATGTAAATTAAATTCTGCATCCAAAAAATAACATGTTATATTAAGATATTCTTGACAATTTCTTGCTATCCAAAGGTCTATTATAAGACTAACTAAAATAGCATTATTTTTAATATATTTAATAATTATAAGCAGTGTATAATTATATGCTTGATAGATAATTTTTTGACTAACTTTACATCAGATGGGGTATACTGCAACAAAACCAGACAAAGTGAACACATTTAAATTTGTTTAAGTTTTCTTATTGTATAATAAATTCCAAATAAAATAATTGGAATAATAAACCCTAAA